GCCCTCGGGGGGCTCGGATCCCCCCAGGGTGCCCGGCAGGGGCTGCCAGGGCTCCCGGCACTGGATCCACCCGGCGAGAGGAAGAGGAGAGGGAGGAAAGAGAGAGAGAGAAGGTTAGTGCCAGAAATCCAGGGGTGGGGAGAAGCAGGGAGCACAGCTGAGCACCCAGGTTTGGTGGGGAGATGGTTCAGGATGGGGGAAAAGTGCTGGGAACCTTCCTCCATCTCTGTCACCTCGGCTGGAGGAGGCAGGAGCTCGTGGGGTGTCCCAGGGAGGGGGAGGGGCAGCCCCACAGCCCCCCCCGGGTGCCATGGGCTTTGGAAGGAACTTAGTGTGACCAAGAGGAAAACAGGCAGAGAGGGAGGAAGGGGAGGGATTGCCCAAACCACAGAGTGGGTCAGATGAAAAATCTGTTTGGGTTTGGATTAGAAATCTATTCCAGGCTCCTACTCTGCTGCTCCAAACAATTGCATCAGTTGGGGGCTTCCCCTAAGCCTGATGGCAGCTCCACTGAGCACAACTCACCCAGAATCACAGAGCATCACAGAATTACTGAGGCTGGAAAAGACCTCAGAGATCATCAAGTGCAGCTTATGAGCCAACACCAGCACATCTGCCAGACCACAGCACCAAGTGCCACGTCCAGTTTTCCTGAACCCTCAGCCACTCTCTTTTCCAAGCCCCACCAGGCACACCCAGCCCAGGTGGGCTCCACCTTGGACCAAACCCCAGTAAAAAGCTGGAGGAAACCATCCTTTTCTTCTCAGCAAGGCTGTGGGCAACCCCTCTGCCACATCCCAGTGGGAGGGAGGGACACAGGGATGCCCACACAACTGGAGGGGGGTGATGGGCTCCATGGGCAGAGCTGCTCATGCAGTGGAGGTGAGATGGGTTGCTCAAGTGGATGAGAGGGAGAAGAAAGTGCTTCCTTACCAGCTACCCCTCAGAGAGCAGGGCTAAGGTCCAAGGAGGGGACAAATCCCATCAGGCTGTGCAGGAAATGGCAAAGTCCTGGCAGGCATCCTCCTGGAGAAGACACCAGAGGTTACACACCTCAACATCTGCTGGAGAGGGCTGGGTTAGACAGAGGGAACCACGGGTTCCAGGTGCAAGGGGAGCAGAGTTAAGGACATGAAGGCTCAGCAGAGATGGGAGCTCATGGATAACTGAGCTCTCTGCCTGATAGAGAAACCGCAAACTCAGCCCAGGTCCAGCCCTGGACCACAGGAGGTGGGTGGGGAAAGGATGCTCAGGTGATGGATGAAAGGTGATGGCTCCTGTGGGAAGGGGACCAGGGAATGGATGAGATCCTGCCCAGCCTGGGGCCATGGGACAGAAAATCCCTTTGCTCCAGCAAGAGCCACAGCAGCACCAGTGCTGCCCCTCACAGCCCCATCCTGCAGGAGGTTGGAGTTCATAAAAGAGCCCAACTGGCACCTGTGAAACACTCAGACACCTGCCTTCTTCTGTCTTTAAGGAATAAATAATAATCCAAGCAATTAACTCTTTAAAAATATAATTTTATTGAGTAACAAAGGAAACCAGTTTAAATAAAAACAGGAAGGAGTTTGGCCCCTGATAACACCCCCAGCACTGCTCCCTGCTCCCCAGCACCTCTGCACAGCTTCAGGCTCCTCCACGGCAGGGACAAGTCCCACTGGGGACATCCCTGCAGGAGAAGCAGGGAGGGAAGGGCAGGTTGACCTCTCTGAATGCAACACATGCTAAAGCACCTGGCCCCTGAAGCTGTGGGGCCTTGGTGGCCACAGAGCAGCAGCAGGAGCTTCCCAGGGTGGTGGGGACCCACCTGCCATGACCTGGTACAGACTGAGCTGCCACCACCCTGTTCTCATGCTAGAGAGAAGGTAGAGCTGGTGGCTCAGCAGGCAGGTTGGGACACAGCCCTGCCAGCTTCTGCCCTGCTGCTCACAAACTCTACCTGCCCTGAACAGAAAAAGCCCTACAGAGAAGAAAAGACACAACAACAAATCTACAAATTGTGCAAAAATATCCAGCAGCTTTTTAAGGAGACAATTCAAGTATTGCTACCAAGGCCTGTGACTCCCCTGCACGTGCTCCAGTGCCAGGGAGGGCCCAGCCAGGCTCTCCTGTGGCTCTGCAGGCCTGGAGCAAAGCTCATGGGTGAGCCCAGGCTGGTGGGAATGGTTCCTGAGGAGGTGGGGACAGTCCTGCCCTCATCTGCTGGCCAGACACCCAGAGAGCACAACGTGAGGCCACCAGAGACCAGCACCAGCTCAGAACTCCCCCTGGGAAGGGTGTGATCCACAGTGATTCACACACTTTCCTGTTGCCTTTTGGTCTCCTCCAGACAGGACATGATCCTGGAGAGCCAAGGTTCTTCCAGCCCTAGCCCTGCCAGCCAGCATCTCATGAGGAAAAGTCACAAAATGCTGCATGTTTGTTTTCTTCCCCATTAAAAGGAGAGTCATTCTAACCTGTGGCCTTGCAGCAAAATGTCTTGCTCACTGGCAGGGCCAAAACACCAAGAGTTCCCTCAGTGACCAGCCTGGAAACAGGGCCAAGAGCAGCTGGGACATCTAACCAGCTTTTAGGTCTGCTGGGAGCCTGAGTCCACCCAGAGGAACAGCCTCAGCTTCCCAAGGCACAGCAGGTTCTGGAAAAGCTGCTCCAGCAGCAGCCACGGTGAGAACCTGGCCATGAAGAGACAGAACAGCCCTTCTGTGTTGGCACAGGAGATGTCCATGGAGATAACAAGGAGAGCAGGGAACTCACACCTCCACCAGCCCAGAAGATGAGGTGTGACAGCCCAGCTCAGAGCAGGACTGTTTTTTTTTCTCATTGCTCACAGGAGGACACAGTGACCCCCTGGAGTCAGGGGTGACCCCTCTGGGGGCTGCTGGGCTCCCCAGCCCTAATTTGCTTCTTGGGTGCTGCAGGGACCCCCTGCTTGCACACAGTTGGGCTCTATCAGCTGAAAGTCCAGACAGGCCACATCACAATGAAACAAATAAAGAAAAATTAAAATAAATAAACTGAAAAAAAAGGCAAGGTTTGGCTTGGCTGAGGCTTTGGCAGCACTGCCTACCAGGGCTGTCCTGCTGGAGGCTGGGGAGATGGTGAGAGGAGAAGGTGGTGGCAGGAGTGAGGTGCAGGCACCACAGGCACTGGGCTACATCCCAGCACTGCTAGGGAATTCCTCCTACCATGCTGGTGTCAGTTTTGGCTCCAAAAGAAGGGATTTCACTCTTAGGACTGGCTGGGGTCCCAACATCTGGCTGGATAAATCCTCTTCTGTCGATCAAACTGGAAGACAGAAAGGGAAAGGTGCAAGAGGAGTTCAGGACATGGAGACTCCGTGGAGATGGGAGCTCACAAGCAGCAGAGGACTCTCCCCATGGAAATCATGGGTAACTCTGCTCCCTGCCCATTAGAGAAACCACAAACTCATCACAGAAGCCACCAGACAGACAGTTAAAGCTCTGGGACACCACAAACCCCAATGAGAACAGCCACAGGTCTTCACAACATGAAGGAGGGAGGAACTGGAGTCAAACCCTTGTCTCCCCACCTTGTCTCCCTGAATCCAAACACTTACCATCTCTGGATGGCAGCACTGGCATCCCAGCACCTCCAAACCCAACCAAAACGTGGGGGGCACTTGAGAGAGCAGGGCCAGACCCAAGTGTCCAACACCCTCTGACTCCAGCTGCCCAACTTCTCCCCTGAGAGGAGGCTCCACAGAATTCCAACCTGGATCCAGTGAATAAACTTGTCTGCAGGATCCCCAGATGCCCCATGGCAGGCCAAGAGCTCCAAGCCAACGTGCAGGGCTTGATTCTGCCCAACTGCACCCTCTTGTGCCCAAGCAGGAGAATCCAGCACTGCAGCTGCCCCTGCCTCGGCCCAAAGCTTCTCCCACCTGCCTGTGAGGGTGGTGAGAGCCTGGCCCAGGTTGCCCAGGGAAGCTGTGGCTGCCCCATCCCTGGCAGTGTTGAAGGGCAGGTTGGATGGGGCTTGGAGCAGCCTGGGCTGGTGGGAGGTGTCCCTGCCCATGCACATCCATGGGACTGGAGGATCTTTAAGGTCCCTCCAACCCAAACCATTCCATGACTCTATGATCTCCTCCTTATCCATGTGTCCAGCCTTCCCCTGCAGACAGTGGGAAGCTGCTTCCCCACCATGGGAGCAGATCTCTTGGTGCTGACACCACCTCCCCCAACACACAACAATCTGTCTTTTCCAAGGCCCCTCTCCCAGAGCAGGATGCAATTCCCAACACCGTGGAGGTCAAAGGCTCTTACCTGGGATGGAAAGGCCCACACAGCACTGCACAGCAGTTTGTGAGGATACTTTTATGGCTGTAGGGATTGGCAAACTCTGAGCCCCTCTTATTTGACCAGGACCCTTTGATCTGAAAGGGAAAGGAAACGTGCAAGATGAAGACAGGAAAATCATCACATGAAAATGGACTCAAGTCTTGCTCAGGAGGTGGAAGGCTTGTCCTTCTGCAGCCTGCTTTGCTGGAACAAGGACAGGTCAGAAGGGCACAGAGGAGCCAGCAACGTGCTGCTCCTGCCCCTGCCAAGGCTCTACCTTTGCAGCTGAGGCTCCTCCCCAGGCTGCACCCTCAGTGTCACCATCTCCAACGCCAGCTCCTTCCTCCTCCCCTCACTCTCTCCTGGGCTGGAAGCTCCTCAGAGCAGGGCTCCAAGCTCATGGTCCCTCCTGAGCCCTTCAGGCTGAACAAACAAGGGGAATCCCAGGACCTGCTGCAGAGGGAGCAGGAAGAAACAATCTCATCTGTCCCCACTCTGAGCAGCTGCCACTGGGACCCTGATCTCGAAACCCAGCGTGGGCACAGAGCAGGGGCCAGATGCTGCCCCTGGCCCCAGGCCCCTGGTGCAGCCAACCATTCACCACCACATTTCCTCCTCTTGTTTTGACTTCCCCTCCCCAGCTGCAGCACAAGGCTGGCAACGTGGGGCAACAAAGCCACAGAGACAACTGGCCCAGTGCTCCAGACCTGCTGCTCCCAGTCCTGGGGTGCAACCTCCACCAGCTTCACCTACAGCCTGGCCCAGTTCTCCCAACACCCCTGAACGTAACAGAAAGGTGGGAAGGGGAAAGAGAATTTAAAAACCAACAACAAAGGGATGCAAACCTGCCTTCTGCAGGGCTGGAAGCTTCCAGCAAGGGTAACAGGTACTTCTGGCCAAAAGGGGGAATTTTCATTCCTTCTGATCCTGTTTTCCATGCAACTTGTCCTGCTGAGGGGGCTGGTTTGGGGCTGGCAACCTGCACCCAGCCCAGGCTCTGAGGAAGCCTCACCAGGAGAGGCCTGAACACTTTGCCTCTCAGACGTGAGGAACTGAGACCAAGGGACTTGCCCAGGGTCTCAGAGGAAACCTGTGGTTCTGTGGGATGCTGAATTAAGATCACCCACGTCCCACACTAACACCCAGACAAATCTCTGGGGGCAGCTTTCTTATTTTAATCTCAGAACTCCTAATTTTAAGCAAGGTCACACACAGACTGGAAAAACCCCCCACGTGACCCTTCTAACATTTCAGTGCCTGACACTGCCAAGTCACACGTGTGGAACAGTCCCCTGCTCTTTCCTCCCCCCTCAGTGACCTGAAACTACAGCTGAAGTGCCCTGGGCAGGGGTGGTTTGCTCTGCTGTGGGTTATCACAGGCAGAGCAGGCAGCAGGACTCACTGAGATACTGCAGGGGGGCAGGCAGCCAAGGGTCTCCTGCAGGACCCAGCCCTGCTGGGGAAGGAGCAGGGCCAACCCTGCAGAAGGACAAGTGTCCAGGTACTTACATCTTCATTTGTTGTCAGGTTGGAGGCCACTAAGTAAGTGTGAAAACCTGAGAGGCCCAAAATAGACCAGACTGAGAAAAAACAAATCACCAGCTCCAGCACAGTGAAAACAAAAGTCAAGGAAGTCTTGGAACAAAACTCATCCTGCAAGGAGAGGCAGAGGATTGTTTTGGGAGGTATGGGCCACAAAAACGTCCCCGCCAGCTTCCCAGCAACATCCCAGCAGGCACAGCCTGCTCCAGCTGCTTCCCTGTCCACATCAACTTGCAAACTGGGAAGCAAGTTTGTCACCCACCCTTAGTCCCTGGCAGTGAGGTAAATAAGGAAATAAAAGCCTTCCCAATTTGATGTTACCAGTCTACAGGTGAGGAGATGCCTGCCTGTTCCAGCCAGGCAGCTTGGGGGGTAAATGAAGCTGTGAAGGGCACACAAAGGTGCCCCAGGCAGAGCTCCCTGCAGGTCAGGGACAGGGGCAGTGCTGCTGCAGCTCTGCCCCACAGGCTGAGCAGAGCCCCAGAAGGATATCTTGCAGGTGTGGTCTTCAGAGTGGCCAGGAAACCATCCCTCTGCGAGCCTGGAAAGCAGAACGGGACAAGGGCTGACATCCCAGCAGGCAGCCCTGCCTCTCCAGCCACAGCTCCACCCCAGCACACACCCCCGGGAGCTGCCCCAGCAGCCTGTGGCTCTGCAGGAATCTCAGACACAGCTCCAGGGTTTGGGGCTCAGTTGCCTCCCCCACCAGGCTAAGAGCAGAAGCTCCCAGCAGCTGCTGTGCTCTGGAGGGGACAAGCCCACCAGCAGCTCCCCAGGTGTCTCTGCTGGGGGGCAGGATGGATCCCCAGGGTCTGAGCCCCCCCGTTTCCTCAGGCCACGAGCAGGGAAAAGGTGAAGCAACCAGACCCTTCCCAAGGGGAACAGGGACCCAGCGCTGCCTCAAGTGGCAGGAGCTCGGAACAAATCGCTGCTGGCACCGCCCCCAGGGCCCCCCCCCCGCCAGCCAGGGACTCACGAAGGGTGAGGTGGGTGACGACGCAGGCGAAGATGAAGGCTGTCAGGAAGGAGAGGGAGAGGATGAAGGCGTAGAAGTAGCGGTAGTTGCGCTTCCCCACGCAGTTGCCCACCCAGGGGCAGTGGTGATCAAACCTCTCTGGAACAAAGGCACAGGGTGAGGGGCACAAATGGAGCTGCCACCCACCACCCCCAGGCCAGAACGCCCTCTGCACGTCAGCAAGAAGTTCCAACAGAGCTCTCTGCCACCTCCTCACACGCCCTTTGTATCATCAAAGGCCAAACCATTCCTCCCACCAAACCCCTTCATCAACACCAGCCTTGTGACTGGGAACATCTATTATTACTAAAACTGAAAGAGCAGGGAAAAAGTGCAGCAGTTTTTCCAGCACCACTGGGTGTGTGTACCCAGCATCCCTGCTCCCTTTCTGCCTGTCAGCTCCCCCTGCACATTCTGCAGGGCAGAAAATAATTTTCAAAGCTATTGAGATATGACTCCAAAACCACAGAAACTGCCTGGGAAGCCAGGGCAGGTGCTGTGTGTCCTGGAACATTGTCTGCCCTCTAATGAAAGGGCTGCTGCAGACTGACAGGGCTGTGGTGAGTGTCCTGTGGTGGCCAGCAGAGCAAACCAAGCCCACTGCACACACCCAGCAAGCACAGGTCTGCCCCTCTTCACACCCTGCCCCTCTTCACACCCTGCCTCAGCCATGGCTGCTTTCCAGTGAGCTCTTCCAGTATGAGAAGGACTCACAGCAACCCACGTCCATTCCCTAACACGTTTGGCAACCCCCAAATTTCCTCCCTTAACTAGAAGCATGAGGTCCTGTGACTGGTGGGTTGGTTGCTCCTGGATGAAGCACAGTCTCCACATCTACACTAGGCAGGAGCAGCTGTGCAGGGAATCAGCTCTCCATGGGTGTTCCTAAAGCCCTTTGTTTAGGGCAACAAAGATGGGGAAGAGACTGGAGCAAAAGTCTTAGTGAGGAGCAGCTGAGGGAGCTGTGGGTGTCCAGCCTGGAGACAAGGAGGTGAGGGGAGACCTGCTGGCTCTGCAACTGCCTGAGGGGAGGTTGCAGCCAGGAGGGTTGGATTCTGCTCCCCAGGAACAAGGGATAGAACAAGAGGAAACTGCCTCAAGTTGTGCCAGGGAAGGTTTAGGTTGGACATGAGGAGGAAAGTCCTGAGTGTGAGGGTGGTGAGAGCCTGGCCCAGGTTGCCCAGGGAAGCTGTGGCTGCCCCATCCCTGGCAGTGTTGAAGGGCAGGTTGGATGGGGCTTGAAGCAACCTGGGCTGGTGGGAGGTGTCCCTGCCCATGCAGGGGGTTGGGACTGGCTGATCTTTAAGGTCCCTTCCCACCCAAACCAGTCTATGATTTCACAGCAGCAGTCCCTCAGAACCAGGGGAAGCCAAGACATGCAGCCCTGGACGTGCAGCCCCCACTGCCCTGCTGCTGCTCCCAGAGGAAATGGGGGAAAAAAAACAACACTCAGAATCTCACCTTCTAAGCCTTTAAGAGAAGCAAAATCCATCTGCCCAGGAACACAAACCACCCCCCAGCAGCCAGGAAGGCTCCCAGCAGCTCCCCCCTTACCCACGCAGTTGTCGCAGACGCTGCAGTGGGAGGTGCGGGGCGGGCGGAACATCTTGCAGGTGTAGCAGTACTTGAGCTTCACAACGTACTTGTTGATCACCACCTCCATGGTGCGGGCTGGGGGGCGGTAGGTCGAGGTCCCCATGCTGTCTGCAAAGGCCAGGAGGGACAGTAAGAGGGGTGCAGGTGAAACCCAAGGCCCTTTATCACAGCCCCCCCACCCAGAGCTGCTGCCCGGCCGGGCGAAGGATCAGGCTGCAGAGCCCTGGGACAGGCTGCCCAGAGAGGCTGGGGAGTCTCCTTCTCTTAAGACTTTCAAGACCCATCTAGATGCATTTGTGAGTGACCTGCCCTAGATTTGGTCCTGCTCTGGCAGGGGTGTTGGACTTGATGATCTCCAGAGGTCCCTTCCGACCCCTGACATGCTGTGATTCCTGACTTGAAGCTAAAAGGCAGCTCAGCCCACAGG